CACTCAGAACTGAGAATATGCAACTAAATCTGACCTCTCCATCACGTGTCGTATATTCAAAACTGTATACTTGCTGTTCATTGGAGACTTTTATATTCCCTATAATAATCCCCAGGAGGGAGAAAATTAACTCGTGTGTTCAAATCTCTAAAATACGCATACTTATATGTCTAATGGATTCTGTTTTTTAAAATATTCTCCAAGTCTGTAAGTTGATAGTATAATATCTTAGTTACGTGTTCCTATCTAATAATGTTTTTAATTACCTGCTAGGGTTGAATAATAAGACGTTTGTTTTAGAACAAAAGAAAATACACTTCACAAAGGACCACTTCCGTATAGCTGTCCATGATTTTTAACTGAATGGCTAAAAGGAAAGTAGCTACTCAACAACACCTTTCGTCATGTATTCTCCGACCGAAAACTGAGATTTAATCAATATTTTGTAAGCCCACCTAAGGCCCCAAAGTGCTGAGCGCGTTCTTGAGGCAACGGGATTCGAACCACGAATCTCCAGATTCCCATTCCAGGCATGTTAATCACTTGGACACGCCCTGCCTAAGCTGATTTGACGAAAGGGTCACAAAGATATAAAATTGTTGGCTAATAAAGCTCTTAATGCTAAATAGTTAATACTAAATACTTAATACCAAATACTTAATACTAAATAATAAACAGTATAATGCACATGATAATGTTCAGAAATGCATCGTTTTGGCGAGGAGTTACACGTTTTTGGACCCAGGAGAGTATATGAGAGAGAGGTAAGATTAATGTAAAAAAACATTTCATACACATGCGTATGTATATCTTGTTTAATAAACCAAATAAGCGTTCTTGTTAATGTCTTCCTTCGTTTCTTTATTTACTATTTTACTGTGCTATATTATTTTTCCAACACGTTGATGAACGGATTATCTGGACGTCAAATTCGCAGTAATTCAAAACAACACTTTTTTACAGTAACACATATTTTATTTAAAGACGGCTTTGTCACAGTAGAACGTGACACAGTAAAGCAACAGTCGGAACTGATGTGCAGTTTATATACAGATGGATACAGTATAGTTTTTATTTTTTTATTTATACAATTTACAGTGTGTTGCTGCAGGTTTGTGAAGAAACTGGTAAGTTCACAACGTTATACACGAACACCTTGTAACGTAATTCCTGCCCTGCTTTTTGTATTAATACTCAAACATCAGCATCACATGGCTTCACAAGTACAAAATTTTATAGAATCCAACAAAAAAAGTGCAAAATCTTGGGTGGCCTCGTATACAAAATAGGATCATCTTCGTTCAAAATCTGTAGTTTCTAAAGTTTTCTTCTATTTAAAACGCTCGAGTTTAGAAACATAATAATACACTTTACTTTTCAATATAGAAAAAACACATAACAGTGTAATAAGCAATTCGAATTCGTTCACTGTGTTTTTGTTTTTTTTACAATCTCGCTCTCTGTGAGTGAGAAGAGGTTAAAGTAGGCAAACCACGCATAAAAATAGTCAGGTTTAAGCAATGAAACGCAAAATATAATTGAGAATATAATAATTATTTTTAGGAGCTCTATGTAGATGGAAATATACCGATTACTTCAGTTACTCAAACCCTGAAAAAATTACGTTCTTTCACTCATGTAGTCATTGGTTTTTAATTAAGGATATAACTTGAATAATCTCTTAAGGACTACTGCCTTTTATCTAGCTCGGAAACGACATTTCGGACTCTGTGTTAAGTAGTTCTTCATAAGGACTGCTCCTGTCTAGCTTTGGAGGCATCGTTTCGAAGATCTGAAGCGTGGTCTCGAAAACTAGACAGATGGCAAGAATTTACCTAATGAAGGACTACTTAACACAGAGCCAGAAACGTCGCCTCTAAAGTAGATACAAGGCAGAAGTAGTCCTTACGAGACTATTCATTTTCTCAATACAATGAAATTTTTTTAAAAATTGATATGAGTTGTAATGACCATCAAAAATGTTTTTATACTTAATTAAGCACCAAATACTCGGACATAGATCTAATACATACACAAATGGAATGAAACAATTTGAAAACTTTACATCATAGAATATGCCAACATTCAAGTGAACAAACTTAACAAAAACAACCAAAATATTTCTTTCCGCATTTGAAGTTGCTCTTCAAAATTCACTAAATGATAAGGAAAATTTGATTAACATAAACTGTAGAGTCATTTAACTCATAACCGACTTAATTTTAGAAAAGATTGGTCTGTAAACATTTTTCGTGTACGTTTAAATATTAGTTGCTACAACACTTAACACAGTCAACCACAGTACAAGATGAATGAATTGAGATAGACGAGAAGTTAGGTGTTAATACCGACGAATTTATGCAAATAAACAAGTAGTATACCATAACAAAACCTATTTTTATCTCAAGCATACATATTGAAAACATTTTCAAATGATTTTTGGAACTGTCTTAAAACACTTACGCTTATCCGATAATCTGTTTTACAATGGTCAAAACGTTTTCTTTAATGGACGAACTTTTCTAAAGAGTACGTTTCATAATAAGAATTAATTTTTACATAAAATAAACAGTAATTACAGCTGTCTTCTTCATACTAATTTATTGACTGGATTTTGCTTAAGATACATCGTGTTCTGTATTATATGTAAGCTAACTATCGACACTCTAAATCTCGTTCAATACACAATTCTCAGCATTAGTCAAAGGTGGTTTTGAACTATAACAGAAACTCTTATAGTAATACTAATACACAGTCTTAACCCTAACGAAAGGATATGTAGTGTAGATATTCAGCTTCGCACTTCACGTTATATACAAAGATTTATTTGAGAGGGAAAGAATGTTTTCACTTTTTTATGTGTTTATTTCAGTTTGAACAGTAGCTCAATTACTGGATCATCATTATGGAGCAAAGTGTTTTATTAATATTTAGTGAGAGGCCCACTGAACTAAATAACTAATTCAAAAAATACAATAACAGCAACATTTATAGTAAGCAAGTTCTGATCTTAATGACTAAAACGTTTCAAAAAATAGTATCAGGTCATAATAAGGCTAAAGTTCTTGACATTTTACTTGACAATGATCCGACACTTTGGGTCGAAACGTTGGAATTATTAAAATCAGAACTTGCCCACTGTAAAAGTTACTGTTATTGTGTTTTTGAATAAGTTAAGGTGCTTTATTGTTACGCTAGTCTTAATGTAATGGTCCTCCATAGAAAGAGAATGATCTCGTGAATGCGTGACACTAGCTAATATCAAGATATTTTTCAGTATGATATACACATATATATGTGCAAATCAACTCGAAGAGTGTGTACGAATATATGTGTAATATTTTGCTTAACGGAATGGCATATCGCATATTAAAGTCTCGATATTAACATATCTGATGCTAGTGTTAATTTAGTGCAACGCGTTTAATGTTGTAGTCCAACATTTAGCATCTGCTAACGTCATTAGCAGTCTGCTACTAAGGGTTTGAAAAATATTTTGAAGCTAATGATTCGGTTAAAGTTAACATGTAGATACATCTGAGCTATTTTTTCCCGTCGTTAATTGTTAATCAAATGTTTAACTAAAATTGTTGCATTTTACGTGCGAGGCTGTGATCAGTTTGGAACCTTCCATATATTCACATGAAATGATTTCATAGATCATATATATATACATATAAAGAAATAAGGCTTAAAAATGTTCGACGGTATTATATAGGACATTTGAAATTTAACCTAAATACATTGAATTAATTTTCCTAAATAGTTACTGGTGGTAAAACAGGCAAAATAGACTGTTAAGAGTAGTACAGCGTCTATAGAGTATATAAGAGGCCACCCAAATGTGTACATTACATAACAACAATACATTCTGTAACATACATTATATATCCACTGTATAGTAAACTATACAGTAGTAAAACCTTCCTTATCCTTACAACTATATATATATATATATATATATATGTGCGTGTGTATATATATATATATATAC